TTCCTTTCATCAGGTAAAGCCCACTTGCGCCTAGGATGTGTCTCAAACTGAGCTTGGCACTGATTAAGGGTGGGAAGACCTTGTTTTGCAAAAGCTGATACAGAGTATCTTATTGAAAAAGATTTCTGGGTGTTTCCTGCTGGTTGTTTTGACCGGAAGGCCTCCGTCTCCCTACCAAGCCTATTTCCAGGTGGAGAGCAGTCAGTGCAGGAGCCAGGACTCTGGGTCCTATGCGTATTCTTCCCTTTTCCAAGCCGGTTTCCAGGCCTTGGCATCGCAGGCTCCAAGCACAGGACAGCTGCTGAAATTCATTCAGTAGCAGAGAAGTTTGATAAGGAATTCAGAACAGGCAGTTAAGTGTGTTACTGGTTCTTCAACCCCATGGGGAAGTACTCCGGGCGTCCCTTTCGAAGCAAACACTGTCCTCATGGGTCACAGTGATGTTTCCGGAATCTCTTTCTGACCCTGGGACCCCTTTTATAACTCTCCCATGTCAGATGCTCATGGAGGTGCTCCAGCAGGGGGCGGTGAGCAGGGTCCCCACCCCTGGAGTCCGGGCCTCAGCCCTGTGCCCGTATCTGGTGAGGCTCCAGGTAACGTCCCTCCATCTGGCAGAGGCTGTGGACCCCGTCCACGGGTCTGAGTTAGTTTCAGAGTTTCCGAATCTGGGTGAAGTTCAGTGGAAACTTTATTGCACATTTGCCACACACAGCGGACACTTTTGCACACTAGCTTGGTGACTTCTCAAACCAATACACTGCAATGAGTGCTGTTTGTAGAAAGGATGAAATACGAGCTCAGAAAGCTTACCAAGTTGCCCAAGTTCAGGACGCTGTAACCCTGGGACCCTGCCCGGCACGGCAGACACAGCGTCTCCTTTTCCTCACCAGTGAAGGCAGGGCTTCTCCACTCCTGTGTTTCCTTTACCAGTCTATCTTCTCCTTCTTTCTCCCAATCACTCTCCTTCCATTCTTTTTAAGTACTGGGGATTGAACCCGGGGTCTTTGCACTGAGCTACATCCCTGGCTACATTCTCTAAGTCATTAAGTTGCCCAAGCTGGTCTTGGACTTGCAATCCTCCTGCCTCAGCCTCCCAGAGTGCTGGGATGGTAGGTGTGCACCAGCACAGCTAGCTCCTTTCTTACCATGAACATCCACTGTGGTGTGTGCCAGGCCATCCCAGACTTGGAGATTCAGAAGTAAAGACACAGTCCTGATGACAAGCCAAGGGGAGATGTTTACTAAGAAAAGGTTTTGATGAACTCAGACGCTGGCAGATGGGGAACCGAGTGCAGGAGGCGCTCCGTGGAATCACGTGTTCTGTGCAAGCCACCGAGAACGTCTGTTTGGAGACCGAAGGGCGTCGAGAGCACTCAGGACCTGTGGGTACCTGGGGCCTCCGCACAACTTGGCAGTGGGTGGGGAGCGGGGAGGAGTGACTTCCGGAAGGAGAGGCAGACGGAAGCTGTGGGTGTGGCTGAGATCATCCCGCAGGGCAGCCGGGTCAGCACGGGACAGCGCTCGTGTGGTGGGAGACAGAAGCGTCGAGGAAGAGTCCCTTACAGAGTATGGGTCCAGCTCGTGGGGCCCACATGGTGGCATCAGGCTTGATGTCCATGGCGCCCCGTGGACAGGTTGCTGGCCCAGGACCTCAGTATCTCCGGGAGCATTAGGGACTGGGAGGGACATCTCCACTGTCCATCCAGGGCGCGCTGGTCCCACCTGGCTGTACTGGACGAGGGCTGGGGAAGGGGCTGACGGGGCTGCCACGAAGGGAGCCATGGCACAGCGCTCACCCCTCTCAGGCGCGGCTTCTCCCGGCCCAGCAGCTGCACAGAGACAGCCTCCTTCCCACGTGGGGGCCAGGTGGGATGCCACGGGGTGCCTGGGCCCTGAGCTCACCAGGGTGGCCAGCAGCCGGCACCCAGCAACAGGGACAGCTGCAGCAACTTGGGGAGATCCAACTGGCAGGACTGAGCAGACCCAGATTCTGGGCAATAGGACGAAGTGTTTGGACTGGGAGAGGCCCTCCGGGAGGGGGACCCAGACAGGTGCAGCAGAATTCCTTGTGATGATAAAGGCAGGGGTGGGGTCGATAGAATTTAAATATGGAAGCAGCTGGCTTTGCCAAAGGTGAAGTGGACTCCCAGTGCTGATTTCATTCTCAGAGTGCCCAGGGAGCCCACGTGTCATCTGGGTTCTGTGGATGAAGAAATCAAAACCAAAGCAGATTAAGTCCCAAGGCTCCGTGGCTGCCAGACAGGTGGCTACCAGTCTGGCCTGAAAGGTTTTTTTGTTTGTTCATTTTTGGTGCCTTTGAACCCAAGGCCTTTGTATTGAGCAGCAATCCCATCCCCTTGCTTTTTTTGAGAGAGAGTGTCTGTTAAGTGACTTAAGTTTCTCAGGCTGGACTCAAACTTATAACCCTCCTGCCTCAGCCTCCCAGGGAGCTGGGATTACAGGAGTGCACCACCATGCCCACCTTGAAAGTGCTGTTTTATTGCAAACCACAGTTCCCCTTCTCAAAACCAGAGCACGAATGGGTTCCTACTGGAGCTGGACGGCCTGATTTTACCACAGGGGGCTGACCCACTCCTCCGGGCTGTCCGATCCCCAGAGACGCAGGCGTTTGGCCAGGAGAGCCCGCTACTGCTGCACTCTGTGGAGGAAAGAAGGACCAACTCACGCGACCAGCGGCCTCCAGGTCAAGGTGTCTGGGTTAGGCCAGGGCTGGGTGAAGGATCGCCTGCAACTGGGCAGCTGGGCCGCTTCTTCCGTCAGCCACAGCGGCCAGGGGCTCGCAGAGGCCTTGCTCAGGCCCAGAAGGGCCCCAGCTCCCCATCTCTGGTCCCTGGAGAGAAGGGGCTGCACTGTCCCTCACCGAGTGTCCCACACCTGCGGGTGGGAAGCTCAGCGGGGCTGGTGAGGACGCGCAGCCCGGCGGGTCACGCTGTCCAGTCGCTGCGGACGTGGCCAGGCGCCCTGGGGCCTGTCCTTCAGAGGAAGCAGGAAACCTGGGCGCTTTCCACAGGCAAAGGCCCAATTTGGTTTCAGCGATTAAACATTCAGCTCAAATGCCGTGACTCGGCGACGTGTGGATGCAGCCAGGCTGGTCCCTGGCACGGTCCTGCGCTCACACAGTGTCACCGGCCCTGGACACGGCAGCGGTGACCCAGAGAAGCCTCCTTCTCCCCGGCTTTCTCGGGTCCTCTCAGGAGAAGCAGACAGGGCTGGAGCTGCAGCTGGGGACACAGCCTAAGCCTGGGGCCTTGGGACCACACTGGGAGGTCTGGGCTGGGCCACTGCGGATTCCCGAATAAACCCCTTCCTGGGACACCGGCCCCAGCCGGCTGCACTAAGTTTTAGGTGCTTCATCGAGGTCCCATTTTATCTCTTCCAGGAAGTTCCTTAACCAAGCAAACCTGCCAGGAACTGGGACTCCAGAGAGGCGGCGGAGGCAGAGGCTGCAGTGGGACCCACGTCCGTAGTCACCGGAAATAGCGTCAGTTCCCCCATGACGGCAGCCCGAGGGAGGGGTGACAGAAGCTCCGGACAGGAGGTTCCGGTGGGAAGGGCCGTCCCGGAGGAATTCACTCGCACACTTTACAAGGCCCCACTTGAGGTGGCTTCTGCTTCCTCTCCTAGGGTCATTATTCTTCTCCAGTCTCCCTGACCAGCTCCCTGCTCCAGCCATCCAGGCCTTTCGTCCACACAGGACTGCGTCTATGCACCCCAGGGCCTGTGCACGTGCTATTCTTGGCTCTGGTAACCTGTTAGCTCCTGGGTACCCTTTTGCTTTTGGCCTAAGCGTCCTTTCTTCAGAGAGATGTAATGCTCGGAGTGATTAGAGGCTCTCATTGCCCCTTCCCACTGTTCCACGTGCTCGTGGCTCTGTGATCTGTTTCTTCATAACATTAGGGTTTTTTTCTGCATCCGCCTCTTGCCACAAACAGGGTTAAGAGCCCAGACTCTGAGTCACATTCCTCGGGCTCCAGGTCTAGCTTTGTTTTATTACCTGTGGAGTTTTGAGCATCTTCCTTACATCCTCTAAATCTTAGTTGGTGGCTGAGGAAATGAAGACAGTAATAGCACCCAGTTTATAAGATCGTAAGTGGAATACAGGTAAACTGCATGTTGGATGCTGCCACATATATGCTCAATACACGTTTGCTGCTGCTATTATTATTATTATTAATTATTATTACCTGCTTTTGTTGAAGGGTCCTCAGTTTAAATTTCTGTGAGTAAGAACATGACTCATTCAGCTTGGCTTACCACACCAGATCTTATTGCAGGCAGCTGGTCTGTACGTGACCCGCTTGCTGCAGAGGCGTGTGTGTGTGTGTGTGTGTGTGTGTGTGTGTGTGTGTGTTTACCCTGAAGTCGATAATGTTTACTAGTTCTGCCGGTTTCTTCTGGGCCGCAGGGCAGGGATGTGCACAGCCTGCTAACTAACCAGGACGGGGTTTCAGCAGCAGCCTGACGGCGGGAGAGGAAGGAGTTCACATCAGCAGGCAGTCATGTGGAGGTCTGACCCGGAGTGAGGCACGCTGCTCCTTCCTCGGCCACAGAGAGGGCCAGGGAGCCTGAGTGGGCCCCGCCGGCCTGCCTGCCCTGCACTGATACTTGCAGAAGACAGGGCTTTTTGAAATACTGATTTAAGTGACTTATATCCCTAGTGTTTCGCTCTACTACTTAGCTTACAGAAAGCAGGCTCTGAACTCATCTTTTCAAGAAGTAGTGGAACATCAGAAGGGTCAGCAAAGGTCTCTCCTTAATATTTCATTTCAAAAGCCTAAGCATTCAGAGGGAATCAGAGAGAGAGAGAGAGAGAAAAAGAGAGAGAGAGAGAGAGAAGGGCCTGAACCAGAGATCCAGGAGAATCCAGATGAAGAAAGAGACACGGAGAGCCCCACGAAAACCCCTGTGTCTAGGAGGAGAAAGTCTGTGTTCGGGAAGGGAGGTGGTGTACTGCCCGCCCAGGGGACCAGCGACAGAGGTCAAGGAGGAAGACCCAGGAGGAGACAGCAAACCCGATGGCTTGTCCTCACGTCGGCCAGCAGCAGCTCTCGGATCACTACTACGCCCACACAGGAAGTAACTCCTCCCAAGGGAGGCCCCTGAATGGCCGGGGATGAAGCCCCCACTCACAGGAGAACTCGCAAAAGGGTAAAGTTCAGAAAGTCAAGCGAACACGTTTCTTACGCATCTGAGCTTGGACATGAGTATGTACACATGCTCCTGAACAGAATATTTTTTTTTCTCATTGAACTTTTTTTAATGGGTCTCAAAATTCTGTGACAGATTTTTGGTCAAGTTGTTTCCATTAAAAAGTGATTTTAAAAACTAATAACTTAAAACTGCCATGCACAAAAGAATATAAATGGTCCACAAAAATTCTCCTTTCCCCCTGAATGTTTTACGTTGCATCGTTATCATTAACCAGTCTTTTACTATTAAATGTAAATGGCCAATTGGGAGAAACAGTTCTGAGACCGGTCTTCCACCACTGATTAAGACTGGGGTGGCGGTGTTAGGGTTCTGGGCAGACTTGGTGACCTTGCCAGCTCCAGCAGCCTTCTTGTCCACTGCTTTGATGACGCCACACAACTCTCTGCCTCATATCGCGAACAGCAAAGCGAGCCAGAGGAGGATAAGTCAGAGAAGCTCTCGATACACACGGGCTTGCCTGAAACCCTGTCAGCGATGGCAGCATCACCAAATTTCAAGAATGTGGGGCCGTCTTCCAGCTTCTCACCAGAAGGGCCATCAATCTTCTCTTTCAGTTCAGCAAACTTGCAAGCGATGTGAGCTGTGTGGCAATCCAGGGCAGGGGCACAGCTGAGCCTGATCTGGCCCAGACGGTGCAGGAGAATCACCTGAGCAGTGAAACCAGCTGCTTCCATTGCTGGGTCATTTGTGCCGTCACCAGCAACACTGCCACGATGAACATCTTGGGCAGACATGTTCCGGACGTTGAAGCCCACATTGTCACCAGGAAGAGCTTCACTCAGAGCCTCTTGGTGCATTTCAACAGACTTGACTTCAGTGGTGACACTGACTTGTGTGAAGGTGACCACCATGCCAGGCTTGAGAACGCCAGTCTCCACTCTGCCCACAGGGACGGTACCGATGCTACCAATTTTACAGACATCCTGGAGGGGTAGCCACAAAGTCTTGTCATTTGGGCGAGTGGGGGGCAGGATGCAACCCAGAGCTTCAAGCAGGGTGGGCCCACTGGCATTGCCATCTTTGCGGGTGAACTTCCATCCCTGGAACCAAGGCATGTGAGCACTTGGCTCCAGCACGGTCGTCACCATTCCAGCCAGAAATCGGCAGGACAGCTATTGTGTCAGGGTTGAAGCCAATCTTTTTCATGTAGGTGCTGACTTCCTTAACAATTTCTTCATATCTCTTCTGGCTGTAGGGTTTGCCGTGAGAGCACAGGTGTGGTGAAAACCCGCCACAAGTCAAAGCCAACGTGGGAAAGGAGAGGACTCACATCCATATGGTCGTCATCGGACCGTGAATTGGGGCAAGTCCACCTCTACCGGACATCTGATCCACAAGTGTGGTGGCATCGACCAAAGAAACGCTGAAAAATTTGAGAAGGAGGCTGCGGAGATGGGTCTTGGGTAAACCGAAAGTTGAGTGTGAGCGTGAAATGGACATCTCCCTGTGGAAATTGGAGACCAGCAAGTGTTACGTGACCATCACTGATGCTCCAGGACACAGAGACTTTATCAAAGACATGGTTACAGGCGCGTCTCAGGCTGACTGTGCTGTCCTGATTGTGGCTGCTGGTGTTGGTGAATTCGAAGCTGGGATCTCCAACATGGGACAGACCCATGAGCCCCTCTGCCTCACACACTGGCTGTGAAACGACTCATTGTTGGTGTTAGCAAAGTGGATTCCTGGACAGAATATTGAGGGAGGCTGCTCTGGTCCCATCTGACAGGAATGGCGCTCGGGCCTGTGGTGGCCACGCAGTTGTGGTCCCCACGGCGCAGGTACAAAAGCATAATAACGGGCCCAGAGTAGAGGATTTGATTTGATCTTTGTTGCCTTCATGGGCTTAGGGTGGTGACATCTAGGGCCTTCTCAGCAAGGCCAGATAACCGCCAGAATCTTTCAGATGTGACTGTGCGGTATTTCAAAAGGAAGACACTTACAGTAGACAGCACTAAAGGAACGAATCTGCGCTCGCTGCAAAGTGGCTGAAAGGCCTTGGGATACTAATCCCCCGAGGAAGGAGCCAGCTTTAAAGATTCACAAGCCTGTCACTCGGAAGAGGGGTCACCGTTATTCAGGGGAGCCCCTGGCCAGACCCAGGATGTGCAGACAGGACTTACAGGAAGACACCGTTGATCCCCGCATTGGGCAGGAAACTCAAGTCTGAGTGTGGTCGGCTGGGCAAGCAAGGGGCTCATGCGTAGGAATCTTGTAGAGATGGGCAGGGTGGTCCAGACCCACAGCAAGTTCCTTAAGTCTCTCAGTTTCAAAACCTTTAAAAATGAAGGTGGCTTCTACTGTATAACTGTTGGCAAGGATTAAGTTTAATAATTATTTAGCCCACATATAGATATAGATATAGATACAGATATAGAGATAGATATACACACAGTTGTGTGTGTGTGAGGCATTGATATTCCTGGTCCCTCCTAACCTGAAGTTCTATAATTCCAAGGCTTTGGGGGAGGAAAGCTGAAAGATTCAGGCTAGATACTCCCCAGTATTTTGTAACTGGTGTAAAAGCATTTGGAAGAGCCTCGGTTTCTTACGGAACTGTTTTGATGTGCCCCTCCCCCCAGTTCAGTTTCTAACCCATGGAAAATATTCAAAGCTCACCTGAGACCACCACCCAAGATGTTCACACAGTTAGTGTCACCCGGGCCTGAAAAAGTCCCTTCTTTTGCTCGTGCAGAATGAAGTATGAGGGCGTTGTGAAGAGAGGCGGACAGAGACAGAGGGATGGGGACTCAGTCCTGGCTCGCAGCCTGGCCAGTGGTTTGTGGATCAGGAGAGCTCTGTGCCTGCTGGGCAGCATCGGTCAAACGCCAAACAGCGCCACTGTGCACTGCTCTGGAGCCCAGCTCGCTGCCCTTGGAAGGTGATTATCTCCCAGCATACAGGCTGACCACCTGATGCAGCAGTTTAGGGACTCAGTGACAGAAGAGAAAGTTCAGAGAAGCACTCCTTTGGCGCAGCAGCAGGTGAAGAATGAGCTGATGGACTGGGCAGCCATCCCAGGGTTAAAACCGGTGTGACACCGTCGTGGGAATTTACATGATAAGTAGTGGTTTCTGCTAAGCTTTCCTTACGATTTTCAGTCTGTTCCCCGGTTAACTGGCAGTGGAAGTTAAATGACCACATCACCTGCAAGGACCGTGGGTTTGTCTGGAAGCCAGAATGGCATTTCACACTCGTGGCACTGTGTGGCATCAGATAATGGCACCTCATCGTGGACGGAGGTGGCTTGGTTTGCAAAAAAAGAAACCGGATCCCGAGACGGTGAACACCCACAAAGGAGGCCTTTCGCGATCTGGAGGCAACCGCTTGGGGAGTTTTGTTTTTCTTGCTACAAGCAAGGTAGAGTGAGGCAGCCTTAGGTTTGAAGTCAAAAGGACGTTGTTCATTTATTTATTCGGCAGATTGTCATTTTGCTCCTTGTGTGTGCTGGGTCATACGTTAGGCTCTGGGGACTTAGGGACAACGCGAAGGCTGCTGGTTCCCGTGGGTGGCACAGTTCGGTAGGAGGATGGCAGCAGAGAAGCCAGGCGATGAGCACAAACATTCTTCAGATCCTGGCCCTGACGGAAGGCGAGTTGTAGTGGCACTGCCCCGCAGCAGAGGTCCACGGTGCTCCCATCCTCCTCGCTCCCTACCAGGCAGGGCCCTGGAAAAGACAGGGTGGGCTCCTCCTCCATCTGGGCTGGTTCCTTTTGGAGGCCCATGGGGGAGAGAGGGTCTGAAAGCCCAGAGGGGCCGGGAGGAGTTTTCTCAGGTGGATGGAGACGGGCACGGCATGGGAGATCCGTGGTCAGAGAGGGTGGTGAGAGGAGAAGGAGGCAGGGAGCAGTTGGGATCTGAGTCGTGAACAGATTTACTTCGGTCTTCTTAGGAGACTGCTGTACAGTTGTAATTAATTCCAGTTATTGTGACTTCTGAGTCTCGCTCCAGCCTCTCCCTCTCCCTCCCGCCCTTTCTCTCTCTGTCTCTCTCCTTTCTTGTTGGGGCCTCTTGTTGTATGACTTTATAAAACTTACCTTTGAATAAAGCACTTAGCCCATCCTTTAAGGTGCATTTTCCTACCTTGAAACTGGTTCTCTAGACATCTCGAAAGACCTTTCTTCAGTGTTGGGAAGACATCCCCATAAATCTGAGGACTTTGAAGTTGCACAGAGGTGAGTTCAAGTCCTGGTTCCTCACTCGCTTCCTGTGGCTCCGGCACAGGCCCCCGGTGCCTCATGCAGAGCGTGAGGTGGAAAGGACCACCGCTGTCACCGAAATCAAGCACGGAGCAAGGCTCTGGAAAGGCCTGAGCTTCACTGGTGTGACTTCCTACCGGAGGACTCAGGTTAGGAGATTTTGAGGAAAATGTCATAATAGGACCATCTGAAAAGAGAAAGTACAGGCGGGGCACAGACAGGCCATGCAGGATGATGGTGAGGCTGAGAGCAGAAGGCGTTTCCTGGGGCTGCAAACAGGAGGTAAAGAGACTGCCGGAGAGGCGCCGAGACCAGCGGCTGCAGTCAGCTTTGCGGCCACCGAGACAGGAAGTGAACCAAGCAGCTTCCGCCCCTGCCTCTTTTATTCCCTCCAGCTTTCTCGGTCCTCAGTTGGTCTCACCCAACTCGACACCATTTGGTAAGGGGCCTCCTAAGGTCACGGCATGAGCTGTAGAGCAGACGGACAGTCGAGGCATCGCGAGGCCCTGAAAGACTGCCTTTTATGTAGGTACTGTACAGAGACGCATGGCGCACAGCATCCCTTAGACTTTACATCAAGGAGCAGCAGGAGGAGCCCGGCGGGGTGAGGGGGGACAGACTAGAGCCGCGCCATGTGGAGAGCTCGCTGCGCTGGTCAACACGAACACAAGCTTTCGTTTCAGAAGTGGCTTTTCAAGTTTGCCTTGTTGGCACGAGGCTGACTTTGGCAGCGGGGAGCCTGTAAACAAGGGCATGTGCCACGCAGGCGGGCCAGGCCTGGCTTGCTGGGACAGCTCCTGCCTGCCCATGACCCCGGTCTGGCTGACAGAGTTGCAAGGGGCGTTCTCTCCGAGGATCAGCTCCTCAGACCTCTCCAGATTTTGTAAATACCTTAAGTCTGTCTTAGGGAAAGAGAATGTGTTTTCATCACCTGGGCGCAGCTTTGATTCACTCTACCTGCTAAGCTCTTGACCTTGGGTAAGTAACTCTTCCTTTGGGCTTCCTGCAGTGGCCCGAAAAGTGGCCCCCTGAAAGATATATCCGTGTCCCAATCCCCAGCACCGAGGAACCTTGCCTTATTTGGGCAAGGCGTTTTTATAGATGTAATAAGTTAAGTATAACGAAACGAAGAGATCATCCTGGGTGTCCTGGGTTAATCTCAAGTCCAGTGACACATGCACTTGTGAGCGATACACAAAGCACAAACACAATAAGGAAAAGGCCATGTGACGACGGAGACAGGTTAGCGTGGTGTGGCCACGTGGGCAAGGAAGGACAGCTGTGGGGAGCTGGAGAAGGCTCGGAGCAAATTCTCCCCCAAGCCTGCACAGGGAGGGTGACTGCCAGTCTTCCGACGAGGGGACGATGAACTTCTGTCACTGCAGTCTGCCAATTTGGTGGGAGCGACATCCCACGGCCCCAGGAAACAAATGCAGCTGCTGTGAAACGTCTGTGCCGGCACCAAAGTGAAGCTGCCCGCAGAGCTGTAGAAACAGTACGGCTACCGTGTACTTGGAAATCGGGCTGTCACAAAGGAGTCATGAGTATGTGAAGAAATGCAGATGTGAATGAATTTTATTTTACCATTCCACAGTGCCATGCATTTTCGGGGGGTACTCGGGACCTTGCACTTGTGAGGCAGGCGGCAGCACCACTGAGCTAAATCCCCGGCTATCTGATTTTACTTGTCAGTTAAAAATAGAAGATAGAAGGAAATACTGCAGAGATGAAATATCTGATATGGTTTTCAGAAGTTCCTGAGAAGTCATCTCAAATCTCAGGAGCTGGACTGTTCAGTTTACGCCTTTGGTACTTGTCACAGAAAGTCATCGTGTTGTAGGCAAGGCAAGAAAACAGGTTCGGAAGAAAGGAGTGTGAGTCCTGGGTCTTAGTTCTGACTTCACTACTCTCCAGTATTTGACCCTAGAAAAGTCATTCTTGTGTCCAAAATACTTGTCACACCAACGTTACAGGATTGGCCAGGGTATTAAATTATGTCGGATCCTTTAACATAATAATAATGCCATCTATTAAATCACAAAATGGTACAGAGTCACGTGTCATTTAATGATGGCGACGTGTTCTGGAAATGCCTCCCGAGGCAATGTTGTGGTCATACAAATGCCATGGAGTGTACTTATGAAGCCATCTGCAATGTCACCAAGGTGCAGAATCTCACGCGATCACTGTGGTGTCCAGGGTCCACCGTCAACTGAAGCCTTGAGGTGTTGTGTGTGACTGTGACTTTCTCTGTTCATTATACACATGGTGCAGACTTACTGCATCCTGGATCCCACTAACTTAGAACTGGCGGTGGCTTGCAAACAGAGGTACACAGACGGGAGGCAGAAATCAGAGTTTGAGTTTTGGCCCTGATGTGAAGCAACCAGATTGTGGTCTCAAAAGACACAGATTTTCTGTT